CAAATGGTGTTTTTGTGTATGCGCCCTTTTTGTATAAAAAATTTTTTTTTTTTTTTTTTTTTTTTTTTTTTTTTTTTTTTTTTTTTTTTTTTTTTTTTTGTCCAATCTGGGTTCTGAGTTCATTTGTGATACTCTGGAGGAGATATCAATGGACTCTTTGGGTATTTTTGGTGCACTGGACACTTTTAGGAAGGTTTATCACTGTTCCATGTTTCCTCCATCTGTAGTTAATTATAGCTCCCCCTCTGGTTTGCTGGATTTCCAAATCCTCAGAAATGGTTTGGTAACAATTTCCTTGCTGACAGATGTCTGCGATTTTATTTCTGATCAGCAGTTTTATTTCTTTACATTCATGCCACAGTCTTTTTCATGTTAATAAATGAAATCACCGTTTGAAAACTTCTTTTGTATTCACTAGTAAAAACGATTTTGATGATCTCAAACATTTTAATGTAACATAAAAGCAAAAACAGAAGAAATACTTTTTCCTGCACTGTAAACTCCACATAGCTTATTATTACTCTTGATAAGATGCCCCCAGCAATTATGTTTCCTTTTTCTTTTTTTCTTTTTTCTTTTTTTTTTTGGAAAAATCTCAAACTATTCAGTGGAACTGCATACCATTACCTTACAAATGACAAGAAGTTGACAAAGTCAAGGGAAAACAAATCCCATGGCATCATTCTGAATACACTCACTTTTTTTTCTTCTTCTTTCTTTCTTTCCCCCAAAAAACATGTGTTCTCGGTTCACAAGTCAGGAACGCTCTCTTTATGCATGAGTTTGCTTGGCATCAACTGTCTTATAGACAGGAGACACTGTGATCCCCAAGCTGGGAGCAGAGCCTGTCACTCTTGCCAGTGTGAATGGTGCATGAGTGAGTGTGGTAGAAAGGCAGCAGGTTTAGGACTGAGGCTGAGGGCAGATCTTTTATTTGATTTCATTTTTTTTTTTTTTTTTTTTTTTTTAGACGTAGGAATGCCTACCGGAGTTGGGAGTGGTGGGGGAGTTGGCCTGGCTGTTCTGCACCGCAGCGGCCGCGGCGTGCGCCGCGTTCACGGCCGTCTTGGCGGCGTACAGGTTGGCCTCTTCCTGAAACTTGCCGATGTTCTTCTTGTACCGGATCCGCTTGTTGCCGAACCAGTTGGATACCTGTGTGCGGGAGACAGCAGAGGGAGGAGGAGCAAGAGGAGTCAGACGTCAAGCAGCCACAGCAGCGTGCATTCAGCAGTGTGATTGTTTCAAGATGTCATGTTTGGGTCCATCAAGTACCCAATTCCCAGCCTCTGCGGTGATGTCCGCCGGGTACACAAGCTAATTAAGCCGTAATCAGGAGCCACTTGTGTCTTCTCATGGATAGGAGCATGACACACTCCCACATCTGTCTCCTGACAAAATGAAAACACAGGAGGCTCCGATTGCACTAACATTAAAGTCGGTGTGGCAGAGTTTCTCTAACTGGACTGGTTTCCAGAGGCTGCTGAAAAGTTAGGAACGTTCAGATTTTTGGTCACTGACGAATGCTTCCTGATCCCGTTTCGGTGACTACTTGATTGACACCTTATGCAAATAAAAAAAAAATAAAAAATGTCTTCACAGAGTAAATGTAGTAAAGCGAGTTGGCAAATACAGCTGTGAGATATTTAGCATGTGTACGGCAACATGTCAGATTTTACATGAGCACCAAAAAAAGGAGGCGGGGGGGAGGGAAGTAAAAAACTGATCAACTTGTCTGAAAATATTATCGAAGCTTTAATGAAGACACTTGTTCCAAACTAATTATATTTTATATGACATTAAAACAACAGAACATGTTTGTGTGTTTGTATGCATGCGTAACTGGTGACTTGGAGGATTACCTCGTGATAAAATGCATAAACATGTGCAGGAGAGTAAAGACGTGCAGCTACGAATAGCAGTTACATACAATGATCAATAAAATAAAATAAAATAAAAAGTGGCGGTAACATTTTGCCAGAACATTCAAAGTTTTTTACAAATGTACACATTGGCTGCGGCTCGTCATGGTAACCGATATGAAGGTTTAAAAACACAGTTTCAAACCAACTACGATCTTCAGCCATGTTGCTGCTACTTTACTTTGATACTTTTTCAAACAAAGTCCCAGAGTGACTTAAGTTTTCTCCAACTTTAAGAAAAACAGCGTAACGTGGTGCTACCCCTCCCTCATCTGCTGCTTCATACTTCCAAGATTTCCTTGTTTCTACACATTTCTTACTCTATAAAGATTGAGAGGGCAATAAGGTGCGTGTTTATTTAAATAAAGAACAGTTCATCTAAACAACAAATGTTACACCTCAGCTATTCCAAATGTTATATTATTTCAATAGCAAAAATATTTTCTTTTCTCCATAAAATAGAAACATTTAGGTTGATTTAACAGATTTTTGCTTAGAATTCTTGGAAAAATTTTAAAAAAAAAAAAAATGTTTTTTTTTTTTTCGTCAATATTATCACACGGTGAGGATTTCCGACCCAGCGGCTGAGGCTTCTTCGGTTGTCTTATAGGCAGCAAATGCTGCGACATTTTCTTTTTGCCAAACTTGCCTGCTTTATTTACTCATTTTGATTTGTTTCTTTATGAGAACGAGTTGGGGTTAAATAACTTCCTACCAGCTGAATCACAACAATCTGTGCTCTACATTTTCAATGAGAGGCTCCTATATATTTTCCACTAGTGAAATCCAGGTGGTGCGTTTCTTAAATTATTTCAGCATGTTTTAAAGCAGAACCCAAATTTCAAACCAAACAAACAAAAAAAAAACAACAACCTTCGGTCGCATTAATGTTAGGATTTGGTTAGGTCCACATCTAGTTCAGGCTTATAAGCGTTAATTTCATTGGAACCATGACATCCACAATCATACACTGAAAAGTTGCGCGAGGAGTGAACCTTATGTGCAAATGCTGGCTCTGCAATAACAGCGGAATAATAATGAGATGATGCTTGTTTTTAATGGCCCTATAAATTAGAGTGTCTTGTCGCTGTGCTGCAGCCCCCCTCTCAGGCCCTTGCAGCCCACGGCTGGACCAGCCAAAGAGCAGCTGCCCCTAATGACGCTTTATTTAATTTCCACCCATGTGCTTAAATTTTAATATCCCTAGCAGTCCGCCAATGCCGTGGTGTAAAAACTGACTGGATTTGCAGGACATCGGATCATTTCTATCCTGCACGTCTCTGCGCTCTAAATCTTTAATATCTAGGCAATTAAAATTAATGACCATTCAGGCGAGGCCCGCAGTTGGCAGGGCTTCCTTGACATCAATTGTTTGATGGGTTTACCTAGAGGTTAAACTAACAAGCAAGGTTTAATTGGAAGCAATGAAAGCCCTGGCCATCATCCTTTTTACTTAACCTGCTTACAGTAGATTGTAGGGCCAAACACCGAGCAATATTCTGGCTCATTTAGATAGCTCACATTGTGGCCACAAACCATCCAAAATCATACAGTTTTCTTCTAATGCTCATCAGTCTGCGTAATTTAACAAAATGCTCATGCAGTGCATTAAACAAATCAACATGAATGAAAAGGAAAATATATATTTATATGCATATATTTATAAAATCCAGCCACTGTTTTAGAACAAGCTATCACAGTAATATAGGAAACAGTCACCAACATTCACTTCAATGCCAGTTTTGTTTTAATTCTTTTCTTTTTTCCTCCACATTTCTCAGTCCTGCACGCCGCTACTCCGGCTTCAAGGTATCCTACAGTTTAGCTAAACAATGAGCAAATGCACTGCAGTGTAAGGTGTGGAGCAAAACCCAATCTGCAGAACTAATTCCCTTCAGTCTCATGAGAGGCAGTGCATTCACTTCACTTCTGTGTTTGGAAAAAAAATAAAGAGTAAGACTGTGAGACTGCAGTGCCTAACATGAGCTTCCTAAAAGGCATAAACAAGGCAATGCATATATGTTGCAAAGACATAATGTTGTACCATTATGACAATTTTACAGACTGGGAAGCTGTTGTAAATAATTAAAAACTATTGTTGCCTAATTAAGTTGGCACCTGAATTCTCTGGGTAATCTACAGCAATAAAAGAACCCTCTATTGTAAATTTTGTAATCTTTTTTTATTTAATCAGACAGAAAGCTGTCAGAGCGCGCTCTCCAAAATTAATTGTCACACAAGATTAGAAAAAAACATGCCTCTTTAAACATTAATAACTGATGTTTGAACTGGAAAAAAAAAAAAAAAAAAAAAAGGTTTAGGAATTGAATCTAGAGATCCAGTCACAAACCGGTATCAACTGTGGCCTCTAACGCGTTGGACGGAAATAGTCTAATGCTTTGCGTTTGGTTGCAACACACAAGTAAGTATGTAAGTACAGAGCCACTGAAGAGGCGTCAAGCTCTGACTGAACCTCAGCGATTTTGAAGACTGAGGCGTTTTAAGAGTCCGTGAAGCGAGACACGTTTTAACTTGGCATTTGAAACCAAGGATCTCTCTCAGGAATGACTTCTGCACATTACAGACATTTTAAATGATCACTGCTAAACTGATGCCGGGTGTTTCATCAGCGATGATGCATCGAGCAGAGCCGCAGAGCGATATTGGCATACCGTACACAACGGATGGTGTTTACTTAATGAACTATGTGCGCAATCAACAAAGCAGGACAAAAAAAACAACAACAAAAAAAAAACAAAAAGAGCTACGGGGAGTTTGAAAAATGACTCAGTCAGGGCTTCAACGTGACCACAGTGAGTTTGTGACTCTGAAAAGGTTCAGTCACTGTGAGGGATTGTCTACATGCACCCGGCATTACATCGAGGTTTTAGGTTTTTGACTCGATACCAGCCAGAATGTAGGATGGCATTGTGACCTGGCTCCGGGTCCGGGGCCCATCTCTGCCAGGGCATCACTGTGTTTCCTATTTCTTATTTGCATGCAGTACAAACACTTTAGGAAAATGAAGTCATTCACTGCGGCTGGTCGATGAAACTGCTGCTAAAGTTTGCCTCTAATAATGCGAGCACTATTGGTGGTAAACTAAAAGCATTTTTCAACAGGTTTGTTCATCAGCCTGGAGTGATTTCCTCTAGTTCAAACAAAATACAGTGGTAAGACCTTCGCTTAATATTTCTATCAGTAGGATAATTGAAGGTTCTTCAAACCTTTGCTTCACTATCAGCACCATCTCAGAATTAAGATAGCATAAAAGCAAGCAGTGTGTATACTTGTCAAAGCTAAACTGGATTGTTTTACCCTAACCAATGATTGTTCAAAAATGTTGTTTGTAATATGTGAAAAACCTTTATTATAATTTTCGTTTTTATTTATTTATTTGAAACAGACCAAAAGTAAATTAAAAAAATAGTAAAAAACAAAACAAAAAAATAAATAAATAACAGTCATGCCAATTGACATGCAATTGTACACAAATTGTTGAAAAAGAAGCAGGTAGAAGATAAAAGATCTTATGATTTCCTGCTCCTCTGATACAACCTAAGCCAATCTAAAGTCTCCCCATATTAAATGAAACTTAAAACTCACGTATTCTCACAATTGACTGAACACCTATTTACACATTACTAACATAATAATAACAATTTTGCCCTTTGATACACCCATTTTATACAACATAGCTTCCAATCTGTTCATTCTTATACTGTTTTTTTTAAACACAATAAAACTGTTTTCTGAAAAGTGTTGCTAAAGTCTAGGTGTATTATTATTATTATTATTATTATTATTATTATTATTATTATTATTATTATTATTATTATTATTATTCCCCAACCAAAATGAGTCAATAGGATTGTCTGGTATGCATTCATCCAGAAAGAAGTCTATAAATAGTATCTGAGTTCAGGTTCTTTAAAAGGAAAAAAAAATATGTATATATATTTTAGAAAATGTTATCTTCCACTCAAGTGCAAAGAAACAGAGCCCTGTGTGGAGAAACACGGAGAAAAACACAAACCAAAAATAAATTGGAGCACTAATTAAAATAAAAAAGGAAAAACATAAAAATAATAAATCATGATAATAAATGACTATAGAGGAATGTGACACATTGTTACACACAGTGATTACGTGGGTGTGATGCAATTATAGATCTGTGAGACTTGCAGGTACATTGTAAGGCAAATGCTGAATATTGTCATTCACTTTTCAAAATGTAAAGTCAAACTTCACATTCTTGTTTTTCTTTTTTATTTCTCTAACATTAGCATTGGTCCATGTGAGAGGGGGGGAGGGGAAAGGTTCTGTGCAGTGGAGAAAACTGGAAGCCTACGACATTCAAAAAGAAAGAAAGAAACCAAAAAAAAAAACAAAAAAACAAAAGGAGGTTGAAAGAACATGAAAACATTTGATCAGGAGAGGTTATGACATACCTGTGATACTGTGATGGTGCTTCCCACCCCCTGAAGGCAAAAAAGAATGGGCTTTTACAGTATCTGACTCTTCACGACTACACTCAATATACCCCCTCCCCACACACACAAAACACTGCAGATAATTGTATAGATTCATGTTTCCATGTTACTGTGTCTCACGAGGACAGCCACAGAACAACAGAGGATAAAAATCTTTATAGTACAATCACAGCAGAACAAAAAAAAAGAACAAAAAGAAAGAAAGAAAGAAAAAAGAAAAGGAGAGCACAGGATAATAATACTTTGGATGTGTAAGGGTTTGAGGGGTGTTAGATGTGAGGGATATTGCCTTCAGGTGCACCCAATGAGGAGGCTGTGATATATAGAAAGAGGGAAAGCCTCATCTTTAAGTGTAAAGTATAACAGTGAATTAGCAGACTCCTGCCAGGCCACTTGAAGGGAAAACATACGGATAAATACCCAATTTCACCCAGAGTTTTGAAGCACCAGCTTTTAACTGCTTTTCTTAAAGTAATGGATGATGCCATTTTTATCTCCCCAGCTTATGACCTGAACGACTGACCGGGCAACAGAGAGACAGAGAGAGAGAGAGAGAGAGAGAGAGGGGGAGAGAGAGAGAGAGAGAGAGAGAGAGAGAGAGAGAGAAAACATGGTGGATGGGAATGAGGAGGAAAAATGCCAGGGGACCCACAGTAAGGAAGGACAGCATACTGCTATGATTGAGGCTAAGATGATATAGGCCTCCCTTCCCCGTGGCCCTGCTCTGACTGACTGGGACTGGCCTTGACTGAAGCATCATTAGGCAGTCACAATGTCAAGGTTAGCAGAGGACATTGTGTCTCGCTGGTGTGACCCACTGTAACGATCCCTCTAGGCTCCCCCACCTCGTTTTCGCCCAGCAGCCCACTGTTAAGAGGAGCGCTACCCACCTGGGAAACGGTGATGCTGCACTTCTTGGCCAATTCCTCCTTAGCCTCCTCGCTCGGGTACGGGTTGCTGAGGTGCGAGTAGAAATATTCGTTCAAAATTTCCGTCGCCTGCTTGCTGAAGTTTCTCCTTTTTCGCCTGAGTGGAGAGAAAAGGAAAAAAGAAACACAGAGAAAAAGGGCCCGTTAGCGAGACCAGCGTGAACCAGTCCATTTGTATTTTTGGGGGGGTTTTTTTGGACTGCACAATCAGTCTCACACAGAAATGGTGAAAATAATGAGGAATTGTTTTTAAGGGCCTCCGGGAGAGGAATATCGTGTCCTGCGCATAGAGAAAAAAAAAAATGCCAGCAAACTCGGACTTCAATAAGCTGACACGCACACAAAACACATACAATGTTTAATTTGGTCTGTTGGTCTCCAATCCCCAACCCAAGCGTGTAATGTGGAGAGTTTAGTGCAGCGGATGGGTGGGCTTCGTGATGGAGCGCCAAAGCCCGGTCGCAGTGCATCTCGGTGCATTATAGAAATCACGGCATGCACAGTTGAGCATTGCTCCTGAAGTGCCACAGCCCTGGGTTCTGCGGCAGAAACAAGGAAAACTCTTAACTAGATCTGGGTCCCCTTCCCTCCCAAGGGCACTACTTATCATGTTGTTGAGCATTTGCTTATTTTGCCTTGTTTACCGCGCTCCACACAGGCGGCGGGCAGCAAATGTGCTTCCACTCGGCTTGTTTGGCTAGAAGAACTTGTGCCGCTCTCGGCGTAGCTCCGCACCGCACGGTTGCTGTTAGTGATTAGAGTAATCCACAACACCTGCCGATGACCTCCCCTTCCATCCATTACGAGTGACTCGGCCCGCGTTTCACTTGGTCTTAACTGCTTTCAGGTGTGGGGGCCGTGATTGTCTTCAAAATGGATAATGCATGGAACATGGATGTAATTAAATTTGTGCATCTCTGCGGTGCTCATACTGTGTGCTGTGCTAGAAAGGCGAGAGTAACTTCAGACCTGCACAAAAAGTCTGCGAGAACCCCCCTCCTCCCGCCCGCTGGGTTTGTCCTTATGTGGGTCACACAGAAGCATAGAGGAAGTTTTTGAGTACCTAATGCACACGTACACACATCCTTGTACACGCTCCTTTTCAGATCCCAGGATTTTATAACGCAAAAAAGTAAATAAATAAATACAAAAAAGGACCAAGATAAATCATTTCTGAAATCGATCCATATTTAATGTGACACGTGACCCTGTGTAATTGTACTGAAGAACAAACAAATCTGTTAGGGGGAAATATGAGAAAGTAAAAAAGGTGCAACAATCTGGTTGCCTAAGTGTGTACACCTTTAAAATCGTGTTTTGTTTAAAGTAAATACATTTTGGTTCGATTTATGCGCTCCGTCTTAATGCGTAGGAGTCTATCGGCGTCTAACGTTCTGACTTGACAATGTTTGCTTCCAAAAGTTCTCCATATCTATCACGTTGTGAGGATGTCTCTTGTGCACAGCCCTCTTCAGGAGACCTCAAAGATTTCCTGTCAGATTTTGTTCTGGACTCTGCATAGACCATTCCCAAACTTTTTTTTTTCCTTCTCCTTGTTTTCTTGTGGTGCTTGAACTTATTGCAATGTGGAAAAATGAAACCCCTCTTCTTCGGGTTTCTTGCAGACGCCTGAGAGTTCTGCATCAAAAACTGACTGATATTTTTGAAATACTCGTGACTTATCGCAACGTAAGAAAAAAGTCTAGTTCAAGTAACCTTGAAGTATAACTGAGACTAAAGGATCTAATTTGACTTTAATTTGACCATAACGCATTATTATTTTAGGATTTTAGGAAATTTTGGCAAGTGTTAGTTTAGCTCTATGGAGAATACAATAGACTGTTGTCCCAGATAAAACATCTAAAAAAAATCAAATTCTTCCAGGTACTTCTTTGTTACTCTCAGCCTCTCTGACAAGTTCCTTTCAATCAGTTACGGAGAAACGTCCATTTTCAATGATGTCATGGTTTCATATTTTCTGAAACCATTGCTGTGGATTTTTTTTGTACTCTTCTGCTGACTGATACCTTTGTGTAACAACATAATTTAGTCTTTTGTAATCTCTTTGCAAACAACGTCATTCTTTTCAACGAGAACAGCTGAACTTTATTAAAAGCTAATTCTTTTATATTGATTGCAGGTACGCTTCGATCAATAATTGCTGAAACTGGATCAAAAGGAGCTTCATCTGGTGTTATTTTAAGGGTGTGCACACTTACGCAGGCTTCATCATCAGGCTTTCATTTTAAATTGGTGCATTTTTCAGTTGATTAATAAACAATAGAGATCACGGTACACGAGGAAAAACGTTCTAAAATTATTTCCCATGGTCTGTTTTTCTTTTTTTTTCTTTTGCATCACAAAAACGCGGTATTTCAACAGCCGCGTGGAGTCTTTTTATATCCACAGTGCACACACGTACGCTAAACACACGCAATCCACAGACCTGGCATCAAGGAATCTGGAGCGCAGGATCATGACAGCCTCGCAGGTGCTTTGCTTCAGCTGCATCTGGATGGAGCTGAACTTGCGGTGGATTATTCCCACCATGCGCTCGATCTCTTTGGGCGAGATGGGCCGCGTGCGAGACTGTTCCCTCAGCAGGTTCATCACATGGGTGGTGAACTCGTTGCATGCCTGAAAGGGAACAGAAGAGCATAACCGACCAAAGTGAGTCATCTGCACTCACAAAAAAAAACGTAAGAAAGAAAGAAAGAAAAAAAGAAAGAAAGAAAGAAAGAAAGAAAGAAAAAGATTGATTTTCCAACAGTTATTTCAATTTTTCATTCATCAAATTAACTTCGGCAGAGTGCCTTAGCGCTCATGTGACTCTGATGACACAGCAGATGAAGTCATCTTTCAATAAGTGCACATTTGCAGTTTTCTGCTTGCCCATAACACAGGGTGAATTCAAACAGGCTTCTGTTAAACCAGTAGTTCATACAAGATTAATTAGAATAACTCATTTACGCAGTGCACACTTTAGCTCATTACTCTAAGTAAAATTCGTTAAGTATTTACATTTAGATAATTAAAACACGGAAACACCCTTAAGAAAGATGCATTTACTCCGGGCAAAGTGTTGCCCCCGCACCTCCTCTCACAAAGCACAGAGTAAATTAGTCTAATTTAGCTCAGTGGCTTGCTGAGGCATCACTGCTACACCTTTTCTTTAAACCCATAATGCTTCAGCGCTTAATGGGAGGCTCAGAGTGCTAGGTGAAGGAGCTGATCATACTTTTTTTTTATTAAACTAAGATGACGAGTACAATCCTTGGGATCTCTATAATCATCTGCAACACAGTGCATAATACTGCAATTTATTTTCCAGAGCTGTTCTCTCTCATCACAATGCCAGGAATGTTCTCAGTAATGGAGGGCATGAAAGCTGCTCTCGGTGCAGCAGGCTAAGTTCAAAAATATATGTCAATATTCCCATCAGGAAGTCATGTAAAAGTTTTTGCAGTTGAAAAAAGAAAAAAAAAACATGGCTGAAAATGTTCTTTAGCTGAATGAAATGAAAAACAAAACAACGACTAGGAGCCACAGTAGCTTGCCTGCTATTAAAACGTTCCCACGTTTTGTTGGGCTGCAACTGCAAAGTTCAGTATGTTTTATTGTGACTTTATCATATTGAGCAGTAACAAGTAAAGCAAAATTGTGGTTTTGAAAATCTTTACAAATTTAGTGAGCCAACTGCTAGTAAAAGTCTCTTCTTAATAAGTAAATAGAGGACAATTGTCTCATTTTTTATTTTGAGAGCGTCATGAAAGCAAAGGAACCCAGCAGAGACGACACAGAGAAAGTTGTAGAGAAGCTTAAGCTTTTTTTTTCAGCTTTGTAAAAACAATAAAAAAACGATCTTTGTTTCCCCATCCCGCTTTGACAAATCCAGAATCATAAATGATCGTGGGAAGCAAAACCCTATTCCTGACTCAAACTTTAGGGAAAATGACCCTGGAATTTGCAAAGATCCCCCTCTCACCTGCTCGTATTTCTCGAGCTCTGTGTGGTAGATCTGTCTGATCTGTGTGAGTTTGGCTCTGTAGTCAGAATGTTCGATGGAGTTGTCGGCCGCCCCTCCCGAGGCTGCGGCCGCTGCCGCAGCTGCCGCGGATCCGCCGCCCTTCTCCGGCCCCGCCACTCCCTCCGCCAGCAGCATGTTGTCTAAGCGCATGAGCTGAGGGTCCGGAGGGTCCTCCTCCTGGGCACCTCGGATGCTGAGACCTGCAGCAGCACATAAGGAAAGAGCAAACCTTCAGCAAATGACATTCAGAGGAAAAAAAAAAGAAAAATGAAAAAGAAAACTGCAACAAAAAAAGATGCAAAACGATGACTGAACAGTCAAGTGCAATTAAATGCATTCTGTCTGCGGTGTCCCATGCTGCGATTCCTCCCTTGCAGGTATGAACCGAGCGCCTCCTGTGTCTGTGTTGTGTTCCTGTCGCCCGCATCTGTGTCTGTTCTCTTTTATTTACACACTGCGCTGCATACCGGGTGTACAGGAAAGCTGACATGACAGCAACATCCATAAACTGACAAATGCTCAATAGCGAAGTGGCACTTCTACTCTGTGAAAGGATGCTAAACAGGAAGCTATACCTACTGTAAGTGTCTCTGTCTCCCACAAACCCGACTGAAGGGATCCCCTAAATCTCATCAGTACGGTTTCCTGTTTTAATTTCACAGGATTATTATTATTATTATTATTATTATTATTATTATTATTATTATTATTATTATTATTATTATTTTAACGGTGGGATTAGACGTAAACGAAAACAAAGCGGATGGAGTAAAATCTTCATAAAGCAAGATGCGCACTTAGTCAGTCATATGCAAAGTGCCTATTTGAGAAATCTGTTCTCGCTCACAGATCCTGCTGTTTGTTTCCAGTGGTTGTCTGTCTCGGCGGCCTCTCAGCGCTTCGTAATCACACAGCAGATAGCATACATTCACACCTGGGTGCACTGGCATTGCAGCCACAACGCCATGGCTTTCCAGAGAGTAAACAAACACAAAAACACTGCGGGTCAAAATTACAGCAAAAAGAAAGAAAGAAAGAAAAAAAACAAACAAACAAACAAGCACCAGCCAATCCAGTTTGGGTAAGTGGATAAAAAGGTGGCTCAATAGACGGTAAATACTGAGTGGCCACTCAAACGTTATGATTGCCAGAGTTGTTTCGATTCAATAATCCCTCTCGCAATTCAGAGATTTTCAACAGCTCATTACAGCTTCATTAAGATATGGGCAGCCTCTGGATTCTGAGTAAGAAGATTAGAGGCTCTATTGTGTAAGCCGGTGGGAACGAAATCAGAGAACCACTAACACCAATCTTTAACCGACTGACCCCTCCATGCCCAGGCCCTGGTGGGGGTTTTATATGGTTGATATGACTCACTGACTAACAGAGGTGGGTAGAGTACCCAAAATTTGAAGTCAAGCAAAAGTAAAAAAAAAATAAATAAATAAATAGTTATCCAAATGACCCACAAGTAGAAAGTAAAATTAGAACAAAGCTTATGAAGAAACAAGAAATCTTACTTTACCCTAAACTGTAGGTTTTTTGTTTAAAACACATTTGTTCTTCAATCGGTGAACTTACATGCAGCGGGTAGACTACTCAGAAATTTTACTAAGTCATATTTCATCATGAATCTAATAACGTAAAAGTAAAAGCATGGTAGAGTAAAACTACTCTTAAAAGTTTTGGGGGTTTTTTTCGTTTTCAAGAAAACGTTGCCTTTGTATATGTATTTACCAACGTCCGAGGGCACCTAACAGAATTTCATAGTTTCTGCCCAAACAAGTGCAAACTCATATATAAAGTGGTGATATAGTGAGGCTGGCTAACGATGCTAAACAAGGTATCGCTAATATTACGAGTTGACAGTTTTTTAAGGAATCTGGAATGTGATTTATCTGTTCTAATTCAAACTACTGCGGTTAAACCGGAGCTGGATCGTTTTATGCAAAACTGCGATTATATAGAGAATAGTTTGGGATTATGTAGAAATTCCTCAAAAATGAGGTACGAATACAGAAGAGAACCCGAAGCTGCACAAAATCCTCTTGATTTTACGCTGAGCATGTGTTGCTTTCATCGATATCTTGGCATACATGGTAGAATAGAAAGCAGACTGGTCTTACGCTGAAAAGAGGATATTTAAAACACAGTTTGGACTCAGGGTGGGTGGTGCAAGATGCTATCCATGAAAGAACTGCCACTGTCCACAGGAGGAAATACACAACAGAAAACAACCCCTTTGTGTCCTTAAAAAAACAATCTTGGGATAAAAAAAAAAAAAAAAAAAAAAACTGCAAAAAAAAAATCTAGGCAAAAATTTTGGGGCCCCCCCCCCCCTTTTGGGGTTTTTTTT